TATCTCTTTGGTTCTTGATGAGCTCTACAAGATATGCAAACACTTCTTGTTTCATTAAGTTCATGATAAATAATTTGTTCAGATTCAATAACTTCTTGTTGTGTACTAGATTCAACCGCTGGTCTATTAGGTTGTCGGTCTTCTTCAAGTTCTACATGTCTCCCAATCGCTTTATCCATTAGAAACTTGCTTTGTAAGAATCAAACCTTTATAGCAATAAACACTTTATTTTCAGTGAGAAGGTAGAAGTAATATCCCATATAATTTTTAGGATATCCTACAAAAAAAACATTTAGTAGATATGAGATCTAATTTGTTAGAAGCTTCTTGTCTTACATAAGCTTCATAACCTCATACGTTTAAGTAAAATAAAGATGAAACTTTTACATTCCAAATCTCATAAGGTGTTTTATCTACTTTATTGGTTGGAGCCATATTCAAAATACGGGTTATTGTTAGCAAGGTGTAACTACAAAAAGCTTAGAGGAAGAGTATTTCTACTCATCATATATTGAACCATATCTAATAATATGATTCTTTATGTCAGACACACCGTTATGTTGTGGTGTTGTAAGTGGAGTGAGTTGTGAGATAATCTTATAACTCTCTAGATGAGTTACGAATGTATCACTCAGATACTCCTGTTTTCTATCAGAACGAAAATTTTTAATTAATCAACAAAACTTCTTTTATTTTAATGGGCAACTCTCCTTTTGAGATGATTTATGAACATGCTCCTTTAAATACTTTAGAGTTTTTGGTTGTCAATATTTTGCTACAAAGTTGAATGTTGATCATAATTTGAGTTATGTTTTGAAATATGTCTTTTTCAGTTATTCCGAATTTTAAAAAATGATACAAGGTTCTTAGTTCAGCAATTAATATTTATTTTATATATGGGCCGTAAAGTTCTATGAAGATATTTTCCTATTCATAATGTCTATAGACGTAGACAATACTGAGGTTATGAATCACCATATATGCCATGTAAAAATTTTGAATAATGATCATACTCGGTGACGACCATATTTTTTTAAATAAAGAACTTGTCAACCGGTTACATTACTTAGATATTCAAACCCTAAATACAAATCATGTATTTGTAATTTGTGCCTTTGGGGTATTTTTCAGAGAAACAAAACCAAAGTTTGTAAGTTATTAATATCATTGTATCGTCTTAAACAAACTCCACGAATGGAATGAGAAATTAATCTATTTTTTATTATTTATGGTTTTCAACAAAGCATGAATAATTACTCTTTATATACTTTGTTATAAAACGTGTCTTTTACTACTTTGCTTGAGAAGATATAATCTTGACTGCTAATTCTTTGTTAGAAATAAAAAAGTTATATATTATATAAATACAAAAGGTTTTATTTAGGAATTTGGGTGTGTTAGAGTTTTTTCTTAGTATTGAAATATTAATTAATATTCCTAGAATTGTATGTTAATGCACCTTTAGACTTGTTTACCGTTGTTAATGGAGAAGGTGTTAACTCTAATGATGTACTAATAATTTATACTAATTATCAAAAAAATCATTGGAATACTTACAGAGCTAACTATAACTTGTCCTAATATTTCGTTTATAATTCACATATTGAGTCACTTTATGCATTATGCTAGAAAATCACATTTAAACTTAGCTACAAGAACTCTAAGATACTAAAGAAGCAAATACAGGTAAGGGAATTCTAAGATGGTTGCTCATGTGGATGCTGATAGGAGAAAAAGTATTATTACTATAAAAGTATTATTACTATAAAATTTGTTCATTTGCTAAAAACATCTTTAATTTCTTGGAAAAGTACAAAACAACAAACAGTTTCTAAATCTCCAACCAAATCTGAGTATAGAGCCTTGGTTTTTATTACTTGTGAAGTTATGTTGTTTATTAAATTGTTGAAAAAATTGAATATAAAGTGTGATTCCGAATTGAAATAGTCGTTACAGTTCTGTCATTCAATTATAACTAAACCATGTTTTCATAAAAAAATAAAACACAATGAAATGGCTATGCATTTTGTTTGAAAAAGGTTTTAAATTGAATAATAAAATTAGTCAAAACATCTTCTCAAGAATGAGTGACATGCACATATTTTCACGAAATCTTTAAATCAAGTTCAACATACTTCTTAGTGTAGAAAACTATTATAAACAAATCTTTTCAAAGTTAAGATTGAAAGAGGTATTAAAAGATCTTGATGTGTCACAATCTTAAGTTTTGAAAATAATAGAATTCAATTTTATTTTATGCAAGGGTCTAATATGAAAAGTTGCTAGAAGTTGAAGATTGGATAACTAGAAGAACTTATAACAGACAGAAGATATAACTAATGTGATGAGGATATTATTGAAAGTAAGTGCACGAACTAAATTAAGGAAAACTACTCGGAGTATTTATTGAAGACATAGAGACGAACGCGGGTTAATTCATTCAGTTCTTCATCTCTCTTCGTCTGTCATACACTCTCATCCTCTCGACACGCAATATAAATTAGGGGTCATAAGCTAGGGTTCATCTCAATTCAATAGATGTGTTAATCTTTCAATTAGTTTAGTTCTTTGAGTTGGTGTATCTTTAAAGATGTTACTAGATTTGTTGTTTGTAAATATTTGAAAAATTAAAATGTTCTTTATTTATATTTTCTTGAAGAGTTTTACATAAACTGATTTTATAAAACTTAACACAATTATTAACATATTTGAAACTGGTTTTACTTTTCCTACAAGTATAAAATGTTATGGAAGAAGTACTTTATTTCTAGCCCGTTTTTTTTTTATTTTTTATTTTTAAATCATTAATAATATTGCCAAATATACAAATATAGTCTAACCATTTATAATAATTCAGAAAAACACTTTTTATATATCTTTAGATACAAAGTTACTAATAATAAAAGTCAAACTTTTTAATTTCTTCTAGCATCGAAGACTAAATTCCCAATTTCTTTTTTTATACTTTTTAATATAAATGGTCACCGTTGTTGGTTCGTCGCTAATACCCAATTTGTCGCTGCTAATGCTTACCGTCGCCACTAATACCGTGTCACCACTAATACTTTCTATCCCCACCGCCGCTAATTGTAGTTTTCTCTTTTTTTAGTTTTTCTTTTAAACATTCTTTCCATATACAAAACAAACCTTATAAAATTATAAAAACTGTTATAAAATATAAAAACTTTATAAAAACATAAAACCAAAAACACATCCATACATACAAAATACACATACAAAAACATATACAAAAACACATATACATACATGATAATTCACAAATACATACATAATACACATATAAAAATACTCACACACACACACACACACACACACACATATATATATATATATATATATATATATATATATATATATATATATATATATATGCATACTAATACATAAATACATACATAATACACATACATATACAAAAGACACATTCTACATATAAATGAGTTCATAGAAGAGGGAAGAGGGAAGAAGGAGCTGAAGGGGGTTATAGTTGCGAAGGGAATTAGCGACGACATGTTGAGTATTAGCGGCGACGCTTTTGGGGGGAATTTTGATGTTCAAATTTTTTGAGTATTATCGGCCATATCTTTGGGGGGTGGGGGGGGGGAACTTTGGCGATCAAAATTTTCGAGTATTAGCAGCAACACCATCGCTGCTATTGGAGTCGCCGCTATTAGTATGTACGTTATCGATTTTCAATCGTTGGATTAGGGACAAAATCAAGGGCTAAGGTTTCACCTCATATTTGGACGCGGATCGTGGTCAATGGGCATTAGCGGCGACAACCACTTTTAGCGGCGACACATAACTCGAAAGTTATGTGTCGCCGCTAAAAGTGGTTGTCGCCGCTAATGCCCATTATTCTTATAGTGATTATATTTATGATGTTTCTTTCTGGTCCTATTAATGTATCAAATTTGGACCTTTGAATTTTGCTATTCTCACTTTCTCTCATGTTTCTTATTTTTTAATTCAAATATTGATTATAGAGTGGTAACTTTTGACCCAATTTGTAATCCGATACTGATCCAACATAAAAAAAAAGTTTTTGGTTGAGATTTTTTACCTGCCAACTCGTAAACCCTTTTATTTTACGGGTTAAGTTGGGTTACCGATTTGAGTTCGTGGGTCAACTCGTGTGTATATATATATATATATATATATATATATATATATATATATATATATATATATATATATATATATATTAATGAAATCTGATTTCCTTCCGTATTCTTAATATTTCGTATCATTGTATTCCAACATACTTTAAGTTGTCATTTGATATGTTTTTTTTAGTACAAATAATAGAAGGGATAAAATTATTTATGTAGCTTTCATAATATCATAAATTTAATTTTACATATTGTTTCTATTTGAAGGTCATCATGAAGAAGTGAGTGTTGGATGAAGAAATATGAATTAATTATCGGATTAGTTTTGTGGTATTTTTGAACAATTGCATTTTGTATAAATATATTTATTTTTTCAATTTTATTTGAATGTTAATCACCTAATGATTTTATGTTGAAAACCTTTTTTTTTTTTTTTTTTTTTTTTTTTTTTTTTTTTTTTTTTTTTTTTATGTTAATGACTTTATGTTGAAAAAACTCATTTTTCTAAACTGTGTTGCTTATTTATTAAATAGGTTATACCGGTTGGTTTTGACCTGTTAACTTGTAAACTCGCAAACCGATATATTTAAACGGGTTATATAGTTTGGATTGAGTTGAGCTTTCCAACCTGTCAATCCATATATTATACGGGTTTTATTGAGTTTATGTTTTCTAACCCGCCAACCCGTGACCTGTCGATCCGAAACCAATCCAATTCCCTAATTCAATATATATTAACATTACACAACCAATGAAATTTTTAGGCCCTTATAGGATGGGCCCCAAAGGTACGATGGGCAATCAAAGTTCGCCCCTATCGCAACTTATTCATTAAGAAGAATATGTAAATTGTAAATCACACAAACTCTAAAAACTCCATAAAGACCCATCAGCACAAAAGTCCATGTTATCTCCATAGTTGCCATACCCCATCGTGTGAGGAGGAGGTGGTACCATTAATCCCTCAGCCATGCTGGCAAAAAATCCGGAACTCTCAAAAATCTCCTCTTCATCAACGTAAGACTGAACTTCCGGCAACTCATTTGTTTCCACATTCTCCACTGCTTCCTCCGTGTCCGTGTATCTAAAAGCCTCCGCCGCTTCTGCAGCGGCCTTTTGTATATCCTCTATTTTGTTAGACTTCGGGACAGGCAGCCGCCACACAGAGTCAGCAAAGTTCAAACACGCCGATCGTCCCCTGAAGGCCAAAGCAGCCACGTCATGTGCCCTAGCTGCCATTACAGCAGTAGGATGTGTCCCTAACCACACCCTAAACTTCGTGTTGGGCTCTCTCACCTCACAAACCCACTTCCCGTTATCCCTCATCCTCACTCCCCGGTACACCGGATGTCGAGTCTCCCTAAACTTCTTCCTTCCGGCTTTCTTCTTCGGGGTTTGTGAAGCCAGCTTGACTTCTGAGTCAGCAACTGCATCCCCACCGGTGCTTCTTGTGTTGTTTGAGTTTGAAGAGGATGCTAGCTGAGGATTTTCAGATGAGACAACTGGAAGTGAGTTTTGGTATTCAATGAAGGCGTCCATACGTTGCTTGTGCTTGTAGTCTTTGGATGTAAAGAGTGACGTTATGGTCTGTTGGTAGTTATTTCAAGTTATCAGTGAAGTTATGGATTGTTGGTAGGCTTTTTAAAAAAAAATGAGCGACTTTAAGTGAGTGATATGCAAATCGAGATGTATATATACCGATTTGGGGGCGTGTGGATTAGTCGGTTGGAGAAAGTAAAAAAAACAGCTGGGGATTTATGTGGAGGAGGAATGAAGGAGCCTGAACCAGTTATTTTATTTCTTAACCGCGTGATATTTAGTATATTACAAATTTGGTCCTTATACAATCATTGATATAAGTATTTGGTCCAATATTTATTTGTTGCAAGTGAAGTAGAATAAAATCATTTTCTAGTTAATATATCCTGTTAGGTTATAGGATGGAAATTACAGTTGTAAAATTAATTATAATTTATAATAAAAATTTATAATTATTAATTAATTATTTTTAATATATTATGAATAAAAATTATATTTTTTAATTAATCAAAATTTTAATAATTGATTCACGGTTGATTAATAAAAATATTAAATAGGAATATAAAAATAAAAAAATAGAAAATAAGGAGGATAGCATCATGGTGAGTCCTCTTTATCATGGTGAGTCCTCTTTACAAATTATTACCTCTAATAGCAAAGTATATATAATAAAATTTAACTTTACCCTAAGAAAATCGAAAAAAAACTTTAATTATATATAAAAGACGGAAAAGTTATTGTCATTGTAGTCCAACGATGTTTAGTATATTGGTTTAAAAGGTCCTTCATTTTTTTTTTTAATAATTATTGTCATGAACTCACGTTACGTTTTTTTAATAGGCAATGGGAGAAATGAAATCTCAAAATTAAAAACTCCGTCTTGTTTTATCTCCCTTTTAACATTATGGTAGCAGCTCCTCTATAAACTACCGATGCCTCCACTTTATTCAAAAAAATCTACAAGGAGTTTAGTCTTCCCCCCACCTCTAACCCTCAAAAACCCTAAAAAAACTCCATCAGATGTTTCACAAATCATTCCACACGAGCTCCACCCAAATGATTTGCACCATTGGTAACCTCAGACTCATAAACACTCTCAAGTTACCGTCACCGACAATTGAGGGTTTTGCAAATCTGATGTCAATGATTGAGGGTCCAACGTCCCTCTCCACCTTCCGTCTACCCTATTTTGAAGTAAACGATCATGAGCCTACCTTTCAGTTAGCCATTTGAGCCGATGATTTAGGTTTCTTAAATCCGACCATAAATTTTTTCTTCTCTCTTCTATTTGCTTTCTTGTGAATCTAATCGTTCTGTCGATACCAAAGCATGGAGAAGTAGACGAATTATCTATATTTTATGTTCATGTTCTTCTTCTTTCTGTTGAACCCACCTTCAAGTATGCTCTCATTTCCATTCTTTTTTTTCAACTTCATTATATAATAAATATAAACAAAAACTGTGTGTGTGTGTTTGTGTGTGTTCATATTTCAGCATAATGGTAGATAAAGATGTTGTTTACCTTAGTCCTAGGCTTAGTGATCTTGCCTTTTCTGATGATATACAATATGCTTTATGCTTTATACATTAATTTATATTGATTAGTTATGGTGGTGAATGAGTGAATGAATAATCTTTGTTTGTAGGATGTTAAGTTAAGAGGAAAATTCCGGAGGATTGCCTGAAGGTCTTTGGAGACGAGCAAGATCTGCAGGGGCATTTAGTCCTACATAGAAAAGGGATTTTGGAATAGCAGATGATATGTAACACTCTACTACCTTAAAATATTTTAATCATCTCAATATTAATTTTGGTCTTGATTTCATACTTATTCCATCCATCATTGTACTTTTACAGTTACGGAGTCGGTCTCCTTTTTGCCTACTTGGCTTTTGTTCCATTTTGTGAAGTCGGGATCATGGATAACCTTTCACTACAAGTAAGTTTCATTCTATTCAGAACCTTTCTAGGGATAATTTTAATGATGAGGTTGTGGAGGGCGTTCACGTCCTTTCACAAATGAGAAGTTACAATTTCCGTGATCTTGTCGTTTCTGATGATATATAATATGCTTTATGCTTTCTACATAAATTTATATTGATTAGTTATGGTGGTGAATGAGTGAATGAATAACCTTTGATTGTAGGATGTCAAGTTAAGAGGAAAATTCTAGATGATTATCTGAAGGTCTTTAGAGATGAGCAAGATCTACATTGGCATTTAGTCCTATGGAGAAGAGGGCTTTTAGAATAACAGATGATATGTAACACTCTACTACCTTAAAATAATCTAGGCATCTTAATCTTACTTTTTTTTCTTGATTTCGTACATATATCAATCATTATACTTTTTATAGTCATGGAGTCGGTCTTCTTTTTCCTACTTGGCTTTTATTCTATTTTGTGAAGTCGGGATCATGGATAGCCTTTCACAATAAGTAAGTTTCATTCTGTTCAAAACCTTTCTAAAGATAATTTTAATGATGAGTTTGTGGAGGGAATTCATGTCCTTTCACAAAGGAGAAGTTGTAATTTCTATCCTATTCACATCGGTCGGGCTTTGTGGGCTTTGTAGTTCTTGAGCCTTCAAGCTTTTATGTTTTTCCTAAATTTGTATATGTTTAATCCTATTTTAGCATTAAATTGTAATAATATTAAAATGTTTTGAACTTGTAGAGGCTTCTAGAGAGTACTTTCATACTTGATCTTGGAGCTACTAGAGAGTAAAAATCCTTTCTTTATTGTATTATTGCACAACATTATTAAACCTAGTCGGCTACTACATTTTGGTTATGTTTTGAGTTTTGATAAATATTGCTTATCAAATGATTGTTTTTTGGAGGTTGTTAAGTTTTTGGATGTAGGCGATGGTGCTGGCTGGGAACTATTGCAACTTAGGTTACCACTGTTATATATTTATATGTTTCTTTAATAAAATCAAAATGTATGATAAATGGCAGCATATTGTAATTTGTTGAACTATACTCATTTAAGCATCTTTTACCACAATTAAGTTGAAGTAAGTTGTTATTTCATGCATTTAGGTCTTTTCCGGCTAAAACGCGAAAAATGGCAGTATATTGTAATTGGTTTGACTTGAAAAAAAGCAAAATTTGCTCTTTTTACTACATAAGTCATTTTATGTCCCCAAGTGCATGAAATAGCAACATACTTTTCTATTTCTTTCATTTAAGCTTTTTTTTTTATCACAAATAAGTTGAAATAAGTTGTTATTCCATGCATTTAGTTATTTTTTGGTTAAAATGCAAGAAATAGGAACATACTTAATTAGTTTGACTTGAAAAAGACATGATTTACTCTTTTTACTACATAAGTCATTTTATGTCCCTAACTGAAAGAAACTTGTAGAAAAAGAGTCAACACTAGCTCAATTGATGTGTCTTCAAGTGGTAAAGTTGCAAGGATTAAAGCTATCATGTAGACTATCAAAGAAAACTTAGTCATGAGTTCTTTTAATGTTGTGTTTTGTTTTTCTATAATAAATATTATGCAATATTAGCAATTTATTACATTTAATTACTATTTGAATGATTATTTGTATTTGACATACGATATTTTGTGAAATGAATTATCTTTCTTGTGTATGGTATTTTATTTTGTATAATGAGAATTTAAGTATATTATTTAATTTGAAAATTAGTAAATCTATCTAAAAAATATACTTTTTTAAAATATTTAAAATTATGACAAGAAAAAATGTGTGTCGTGTTTCTTTATGACAAAGGCTTTTACGATAAGCTTTGTGTGTTGTAAGTGTGTGTTCTAATACACGATGTAAGGTTACAACGTACAAGTGCGTGTCGTCTTCCTTTATGACACGAACTACCTTGACACACATTTGTGTGTCATATGTCCCTCTTATGACACGCATTGCGTGTCATTAAAATAAGTTTTTCGAGTAGTCAAATCTATTGATAATTGCATGAATATATATATATATATATATGTGTGTGTGTGTGTGTGTGTTAAAAAGCACTAAAACAGAGTAAAGCATATACATTTCTTTCATAGATATATTTGGTCCCTTAAAATTGTGCATTCTACATTGCTTAATGAAAAAACTTAACCTCATATAAGAGAAACTGATGGATACAATATATACTTCAATGCAATTATCCGTAAGAATATTTTATATGCTATTAGAAATTGATATTGTTGTTTTAACTTTTTTTTTTGTAATCTTAAACCCAAAATCCCAAGAAAATTCCATATATAATTTCTTATAAACTATTAATTGTCATGAAAGGCCATCTAACAATACTAACTAAAGCAAATAAATCGATAAAAATGAGTATCATGTATAAAATATTAAGCAATCATAAATAAGTTAAAATAAAAATAATTGAAAAACATTAAACCACAATGGAACTACAAACATATTCAGACACTAGCTGAAATCAGAAACTCAAAACATTTGAAAAACTCAACATTGGACATGAAACATAAAACTCACCTAAGAGGTAAGAAAACCAAGTGCATGGAAATGATGTATGTGTTTGTGTATGAGAGAGAGAGAGAGAGTTATATATATATATATATATATATATATATATATATATATATACAGAGAGAGAGAGAGAGAAAAGAGAGTGAGTGTGTGTGAGAAAGAAAGAGAGAGAGAGATAGAGAGAGATAGAGAACATACATATGAATATTATTCATTCATCTTGTGAATGTTCATCTATTTTTTTGTTCAAAAGGTAAGTCTTGAAGACCAATGTATTAAACTGGTCTTTAAATAATGCTACTTTTAAAATGATCCCAGAAATCACCCTTTAATGAACTGAACCTTCAAGAGCATAAATAAATAAAAAATAGATAAGAAAAACATAAATTCAATTACAATATCCATTGAAATAGAGATGCATTACAAAGAAAACCGACTAACATGAAACTTCACTGAAATAGAGATACAATACATCTGAGAATGTAACACTCGTATATTCGGCCTAAGCAAATAAGTTATTATAAGTCATAATA